CGCTCCGTGCTCGGCACGAATCCCGCCCCCTTCCCCGTCCCGGCGTCTTCTCCCCCGGGCCCTCCAGGCCCTCGCGGCAGCGCCACGCTAATGAGCCCCCTCCCGCGGCTCCCAGCGCTCCTCCCGCCTTGGACACCGCACGCTTGCACCAACGCATCCTTCACCATCTTCACACATCGCTCACATCTACAAACAGATCCTCAGCTACACGTTACGTATATGGGCCCTTACCACAGCTACACCGCGTATGTCTTCCCTCTCCACATTCCCTTCGCTTCACCATAGAAGTCTATGCATGGCACCCTACAGACCCATTTCACCTCACCGCATCAATGTGCCTCCCCACCCGCCACCCCGTCCCTCCTCCGTGCTGCTCCTGACTCACAAACCTTTCTTGCCGTACCACGACGTTACCCTCCTCTACCCCCGTGCGGTTTTACGCGGTGACACCTGCCACCTCCCCGCCATCAGCATACGGTACGTGCGCCATTCCTCTGCACATCTGCTTCGCGCTGCGGCACCCCGGGTGCCTCAGCTGGTCGCTCCGTGCGATCTCTCCAGTGCAACTCCACATCCTCCCGACCCTGCTGTAGAGAACTGCTAGCGTAAAACAACACCATGTCTCAAACAGCCTGGTGCTAAAACCACACCGCAGAGCGACGGTCGCTAGGACCCAGGACCGGACAGTACCCTGGAGTGAGGGTGAGGGAGGGAGCCCTGTGGAGACAGGGCGGCCTTGCCTCGGCCCCATTCCCCGTGGTCTGTGAAGCATCTTATTCCCCCCCACACACCTACTACCTGGGGGACAGTCCTGGTATCACTCCTCTTGGTTTTGACTGGTCGCTGATGTAATTTTCCAATTAGCAAAACTACTAACCACTTGTGCCTTGGGAAAGGAATTTGGGAGGGAGCTAAAAGATAACAAACTGTGGAAAACTAACGGCTCTAACCTTGAAGAAGAGCTAATGAGCCGAGAAAAGCGAACATCTTGGCACCAAAGACTGGAGAGTGGCCAGAGAAGATAAAACTGCAGAAAGTAGGTGAAAGGTAAGTGTGGCGAGGGGAGATCACGACCACCGACTCAATTCAGGACCGAAAAGACTTGGCCGCCCCCCACCTGAAAGGAGTGCACGTGCTAATTTACATAGCAAGCGAGGCTAATTTAAAAACAGCAAACCAGTAGTGTATGAAATGTTAATCACTAACCAATAAGTGTAAATTTAGGCGGGTTTATACTAATCATGTAGCCTGATAAATGTGCTGTAATTTGTGTGTGTGTTGGTGCTCATGTGTGTACCGGTACTCGTGTTTACGTTCGTGCTCATGCTCGTGCGTGCGTGATTTGTGGAATTACTATCACCGAGCACCCCGCGCAGAATCAACATCTCTATAAGAACCTTCACTTCTCCTCACTCTTCTTCCCTCACCGAATACCCTTGTTGGCAGGACCAACGCTGGATCCAGGACTGGTGATTCTTTTTTCTCTCTCTCTCTCTCTCTCCCTTTCACTTTTCCTAAGGTGATTAAGTTGTTAAAGTTGTTAAATTGAAATCAAGTACTGCATGGCCTACCTTGATTTTCTGTAAAACTGTATAGCTGGGGTGAATATAACTGTGAGAGGGCTGGCGGGTATCGAATATTTGTACTCAATATTTGTCTCTATAGAAGCTTTCTATTAAAGCTGGTGTTTGTGTACGCACCTTGAGTGTTGGCCCACCTTAACCCACACCGAGAGGATTTGCGAACACTCCTCCCCCCTCCTCCCCAGGTGGGACGTGACATCCGCGCACCAGCCTCCCGCCAGGCGCTTTCACGTGCCTTCCTCACCCTGACGCAGTCGTACACCCTTCGCACGCTGCTTCCACACGCTCTCCTCGCTCATCGCACCAACAACACCTCTGCCTGGTATCGCCACGCACCAGACCATCTCTTACAACCGTATAACCCTACAGCCTCACCGTGTCTGCCTGTCACTCCTGCCTCGCTCCATCAATCCCAAACACTTCGTCCCCACGAAGCACCTCACGGCTTGCGTACACATCACCTACTTCACCATCCCCTGCTCAAATACTTTTCTTCAAAAGGCAAGCAACAACTGGCGCCTGTCTCCCTGCCTCACCATAACTCCCAGTACTCCCCAGCTCAGTGTTCCCATTTCCCTGCTCCTGCTCAGTTGCTTCAAACGCTGTCCCCAGGCAGGAGCACCCTTCTCCTCCATCATACAAAATTATCCTACTCCCTCGCTCATCCTTACTACTCTTCTCCAAAAACCTGCTCTTCCTGTTACCATTTCTTAATATTTCAGTCCCCTACGCTGCCCCTGCCTTACCACCGTGTTCCATGCTTGTACCTACCTGGCTTTTCAGTCCCTTCCACACCCGCTTCAGTTTCTCATCCTCCTGCTCATTCATAGATACATACCTCTCCAAGAACATTCACACAATATATGCTTGATCATACACTCCACTCCATCGGTTCCTCTACGTCATGTATCATAGACTCACAGAAATGTTGCTCACAAGGGACCTCTGGTGATCATCTAGTCCAACTTTCTGCTCAATGCAGGGCTAGCACCAACTCTAGTTCACATCACCTGTGCCTTTTAAGATGAACAAACTGTCCATGACCTCTCTGGGTAACGTGCTGCATGGCTGTGCTCTCCCCCTGATGAAAACGTTTTTCCTAATCTCTCACCAAGTATCTGCTACTACCAAGACAAAAATGGTTCTGATATTTTTGCGACTATTCTTCAACTGCAGGCCACTACAGTGCCCCTTTGCCCTCTCTTTACCGTGCTAAACAAGCCCAGCCCCCTCAAACTCCTCTTATAGATCCTGTGCTGCAGACCCTAACCATCTTGTTAGCCCTTTTCTGGCCCCTTTCAATTTCTCCACATCCCTCAGGCTCCCCTTTAATGTTTTCCTCTATTCATCTCCTAGGAACTTTCAACGAACCTCACTTCTCATCTGCATTTTTAACATTGCCCTTTCAAATATAAACAGTAACATGTCTACTATTAATCACAACATACATCTCCTTCCATGCAAATACCAACAATGTTGTTCTATGTACTAATGCAAGGACCATTTCCCTCACAAATTACAAGCTCTTAGTTTTATGTCGGTTTTTATGTTGGTTGTTACACAAAAAAGCTTGTTTGCTTTTCCCACATATATGAATTGATATAACAAAATACACTGGATCCTCTTACAAACCTGGCCGTCCTATTAGCAGACATAGGTTGAATCGAATCAAATCAAATCGAATAATTTCAGTTGGAAAGGACCTACAACGATCATCTAGCCCAACTGCCTGACCAATTCAGGGCTGACCAAAAGTTAAAGCATGTTGTTAAGGGCATTGTCCAAATGCCTCTTAAACACTGACAGGCTCATCGACCACCTCTCTAGGAAGCCAAGCCTGTTCCAGTGTTTGCCTCTCGGTAAAGAAATGCTTCCTAACGTCCAGTCTAAACCTCCCCTGGTGCAGCTTTGAGCCATTCCCACGTGTCCTGTCACTGGATCCCAGGGAGAAGAGCTCAGCACCACCCTCCCACGTCCCCTCCTCAGGAAGCTGCAGAGAGCCATGAGGTGGCCCCTCAGCCTCCTTTTCTCCAAACTAGACAAGCCCAAAGAAGTCCTCAGCCACCCCTCACAGGACATGCCTTCCAGCCCTGTCACCAGCTTTGTTGCCCTCCTCTGGATGCATTCAAGGACCTTCACATCCTTCTTAAACTGCGGGGCCCAGAACTGCACACAGTGCTCCAGGTGAGGCTGCACCAATGCTGAACACAGCAGGATAATCACCTCTTTTGACTGGCTGGTTATGCTGTGTTTGATGCACCCCAATAAAGACATCCAACCTATGGTCGGGGCAACCCCTGGGACAGCTGCTCCGTGGTGCCCCCCATGAGCTCTGCTCTCCATACGCACGCTGGCTACATTCTGACTCGGCGTCGGGAGGTGAGCAGGCCGCACATCTCCGTTCCTCCTACAGGAAACCCAGGTACATAGCAGACTTACGCTCCAAAAACCCAGACCTCTGATGGGAAGAAACGGGGTTCTGGTACTGAACACCCACAGCACAGATGTGTTCCTCACAGTCAGCGCACCCAGCGTGCACCGCAGAACAACGACCGTGGGACACACCTCTGCTTCACTGTAGGGACCCAAGCAATTCCTCCAGCTCTCAGCTACCAAAACCCCACCCCAGACAGTGTTAGAGAGACCCAGATGAGTCTCAGATCACCCACTTCAGCAACCCAGGGTCCAACTCTTACCAGCCTCTCCCGTCCTTCACACCACATCTACCCCTGCACAAAGGGAAAGCTGGAGGAAATGCCTGTCTTTTCATACCCACAGAGCACCACAAGGACCTCTCTCTTGCTTTATCCACATACAGAAAAGTTACACCCTTCTGGCTTCCCCACTTCTGTAAAAAGGCTGAAAATCAACCTTTCCAATAACACGTCTAGGTCTAGCGCAAGGTTTCATTAACCTACAAAATTAATTTCAATGTGTTGGAAGTTTGAACAGAGAAGGTAATAACATGAACCCAGGACAGTGAGCCCTCCTGCCTGTTGGCCCGAGCCACCCTGGAAGGCAATCTTCCAAAATACTTGGCACTACAACTTTCTTTTTGGACCTTTAACCTTAAGCCTCCTGGCCACACTTTATTGCAATACCTAAGGTTCAGTACATCTTCCATGCAAATTCTTCCATCACTTATCACGACATTTTTTTTTAATTTAGAAAGATACTGTGTGGTGTTTGTAACATTGCAGTCTTCTCCTGCAAAGGTGACATTTTTGCCACCTCATTTTCCACAAACAGGGCCTCCAGCAATTGCTACCTTCAAAGAAATGTATTTAACATTTTTTATATATATCAAATATAAATCTGCCTGGTTTACCACTGAATTTTGCACTGCTCTGACTCCTGAAGTATTGAGAAAATATACCGCTAATCTCCTTTAGAGCTATTTCTAATATACTGCAGACTCCCTTCCATTTACTGTGTAGAAATACATTTTTATTTGTAAGCAGCTAGATTTTTTAAAAATGCTCAAATACTGACTACTGTCCAAAATGTCCATGCCTCGAATTCCTTACACCACCTTGAAAACTTGTATTTGGATACTTTTCCTAGTCAAAGGAACTGTTAAGTTGTACAAAACGAAATCTATCTCCCTAACATCTGCTCTATCTGTTTGACATAGGAGAAATTACTTTACATAGAAAACACGTGAATTTTGTAAACTACCAACCTGGGTGTCAAGCAGGAGCCTGAAAAAGCACACATGCAATAAGGGTCTTCAACTGACAGATGCATGGGTTTAATAAAAAAACCCATTACTTAAAGGCAGCAAAATTAAACCAAACCCACTTATTTTCCTCGACTGATGTATTTAGTTAGGGATATCCACATGGGGTTTCACGCAGCTCCAACTAAAAGTGCTTTAACTGCATGGGACCTGGCAGTGGTGCATCCCTAAGCTGAGGAGAGGCACAAGCTGCCCAGGTTATCGCAATGGAGACAGAAAGACAGAAAAAAAAGTGATCAAGAAGGGCAGTCTCAGCCCGTACGGGCTTCCATCACTTTTCATCCTTTCTCTCTGTCAGATTTACTCCGTCCTTGGAGCTGTGCCCATGCAGAAGTCAGGGCTGCCACCCGCCCACGAACCCCTCGGTGAGGGGTGGCACCGCCGCAACTCGCGGGTCGTGGGCCGCGGCGGAGGCGGCCTGCTCCCCCGGACACCCCTTCCCACCGGGGCGGCTGGCAGAGGGGAAAAGCCGCGTTTCACCCGGGCTTTGCCCGCAGGCCAGGCCGGGCCCGGCGGGCAGGCTCGGCGGGGTGCTGCGGAGAGCCGGCCGAGCAGGGCCGGGCCTGCGGGAGGCCCTAAGCCGGGCTCCATCTCCCAGCCAAAACCTCCGGCTCCGCTTCGGAGAGC